AATAAGCCACATACCTGGTTTCCTTTTGCTTTGAACTGATTTCCGGGCTGCTTTAGGACTTTTTAAAGCATCTTCTCTACAAGCTAAAGATGGTCTGATGGGTGGAAAAGGACGTAAACAAGACATGCTCCAGGTGCTGTTGGATTTCATCAGACCAGTTTGAGAAACTTTGGCTGTTTTAGCTGGTGTCATTGTACTGATGCTTGGCTGTGACTGTGAGATCTGAAAAGAACCAAACAAACAAACATAAGACTAAAAGACGTATCGAGATAGTCCATCCCTTTATCAGTAAGTCCAGGGAATCAAAGAAATATATTAAGACTAAGTTTGGCAATATAAAATATATATATATATGGACCAAAAGAATTGCTCCAATGAGCATAATTTTGACTAAGAATTTCAATACAGTTATCACATGAACGTGTTTATCAAGATCGTCTTTGTTACGTTTTGGGACATTTTGTAGAAAGGTGTAAAAAGGGTGACCTCAAAAATTGTACATTGAATTGAAGGAAAATATGTGTTTATTGATAGTTGTCTGATAAACACAAATTTCATAATATGACATAAGCGCTTATTTAAAGATGGGTTCCTAAATTTTCATGTATGAAAATGAAAATGCTAATACTTATATGAATAGAAAGAAGAGGTGTTCTAATGAGTTGCAAAAATACCAGTTGGTCTCATATGTCCATAATCAATTCATAATTAGTTAAATTAGAAGAGAATTAACAGCAGAATTCCAATGAGTGACTGATCAAGAAAGGTCAGAAAGTCTTTTTAAGTTTATCCAGACAATTTAACAATTATGATTGGTTAAAACTCTTAATTATATGCGATAAGAACATAATGATATGATTAAGAATACATGATAATTCATAAGAAACATCAACTAAATCAAATAGTTTGCTTAATTTGAAACAAAATAACAAGGAAACCCATCTTTAAGATTCACTCTTTTTTTGACTATCTTTACCTGTAAACTTTGTGGTTTAGTTGAGCCAGTATTAATAGCTTGTTTAATTTGTTGTCTTAAAATATCAACCCAAGTTAAAACTTCATTCTTAGTTCCACAAGTAATAACCATTGGTTCTATCATGTTCCCTGTACAAAAAAATAAAAACTTTTGACATCCTGTTCTCCTATAATTCAATAAAAACTTAATTCCTAGACATTTGTTTAAATTCAAAAAGGGGGAATTATGATCATGACAACCAGATACCTTTAAGGAATTTATTGCTAGCAACAAATGGCAAAGTCACCCTTCAGTATTATTTACACACCATTCAGGAAATGATTACAAAGACTTTGCTTTTGCTGCATTTCATTGCATATAATATATTGATGTCCCTAAGGAAACTTTTCTGCCTTCCTTTGAAGAGTTAACTTACCTGAGATTTCGAAACCATTAGGATACCTATCTCCTGCTTCACATCTTGTTACTACTAGACCACTTAATGGTAGTTTAGCCTAAAATATGGATTTACAAGCTAGAAAGTCATACAATGCTGCAGGTATTTTTTTAGAGGTTACTTTACTGGCCACAACATTTTAAGGGTCCCTAGTCAGTTCGAAAACAAAAATGAGATAGTTAATGTGACTTTTTCTCTCATTGCACACTGCACAGCATTGCCTGTTATCATTTGCTAGACACAAAACTTAATTCATTTCATTTTATTTCAACAAAGTTTCTCTCAAAATTAAGTGATGCCCTAGCTTCCTTTACCAAAAATGATGTCACAATTCCATATATTTGAAGTTATTTTACTTCAGGATATATGGCATTTGAATTCATATACACATAGTTCTTAATGTAAAACGGTTAAAACCATCTCTAAAATCAATGAAACAGAAGACTCTTACCTCATATTGGTAACCACTTAATCTTGGACTCATAGACAACATGACTAGACAATGTGGAAACAATATACAAATACGTTCATATTTCTCACCAGTATTTGTATGTATTTTAACTTGTGATAGATGTATAACTTCACCTAGTTTAGTTATATCCTATAATATACAAATAATAATTGTCTAGTTTAGTTATATCCTATAATATACAGATAATAATTGTCTAGTTTAGTTATATCCTATAATATACAGATATACAGATAATAATTGTCTAGTTTAGTTATATCCTATAATATACAGATATACAGATAATAAGTGTCTAGTTCAGTTATATCCTATAATATACAGATATACAGATAATAAGTGTCTAGTTCAGTTATATCCTATAATATACAGATATACAGATAATAAGTGTCTAGTTTAGTTATATCCTATAATATACAGATAATAAGTATCTAGTTTAGTTATATCCTATAATATACAGATAATTAGTATCTAGTTTAGTTATATCCCATAATATACAGATAATAAGTATCTAGTTTAGTAATATACAGATAATAATTGTCAAGTTATTTATATCCTCAGATATACAGATAATAATTGTCTAGTTTAGTTATATCCTATATTATACAGATATACAGATAATAAGTGTCTAGTTCAGTTATATCCGATAATATACAGATAACAATTGTCTTTTAGATCGAAATTTAACTTATAACATATTTATAGTTTCACCTTGTTTAGCCATATATAATTACATCCCCAAACCTCCAAAATCATTTTCATAGGTTCAAATGAAGTTATCTTAACTTACCTCTCCTTCCCAATCTTTAATATTACTAGCAACTATTTCATGTTCCATTTCTTTTAATTTCCTTATTTCCATACAGGAATTCTGAAAAACCACAAGGTATATTTGATATATCAGAATATTTTCCACAAACTAAGCACCTAGTGTTTTCACCATATCAACAAATGCTCGTTGATTTGTGCTCATTAGAAGAAAGGCTTTAAAGACATTACACATTAAAGTGTACATGTGTACAAGTTTGAAGCCTAATGTACAGAAATGTTCTGTATATGATATAATATGTCTATATACTTACAGCTATATCTCTATAAACAGCTATAGCTCTTTGTGTATCACCTCTATCTGGATGACTTTCCTACAAATACACCATAATGACATCAATATATTATCATGTCATTATGATATCAATATATTATCATACCCAAATATCATAATACCATATTAAAATCAAAATTATTCATCATACCATAATAATACCAAAATATTACCATAATAATACCAAAATATTATCATTATAACACCAAAATATTACCATAATAATACCATAATAATACCATAATAATAACAAAATATTATCACAATAATGCCAAATATTATCATGATAATACCAAAATATTATCATGATAATACCAAAATATTATCATGATAATACCAAAATATTATCATACCATAATAATACCAAAATATCATCACAATGATACCAAAAGATTATCATAATAATACAAAAATATTACATAATAATACAAAATTGTTACCATAATAATACCAAAATATTTACATAATAATACAAAAATGTTATCATAATAATACCAAAATATTACCATACCATAATAATACCAAACTATCATCATGATACCAAAATATTATCATAATGATATCAAAATATTATCATAATGATATCAAAATATTATCATAATAATACAAAAATATTATCATAATAATACCAAAATATTATCATAATGATATCAAAATAGTATCATAATAATACCAAAATATTATCATAATAATACCAAAATATTATCATAATAATACCAAAATATTATCACAATGATACCAAAATATCATCATAATGATATCAAAATATTATCATAATAATACAAAAATGTTATCATAATAATACCAAAATATTATCACAATGATACAAAAATAGTATCATAATAATACAAAAATAGTATCATAATAATACAAAAATAGTATCATAATAATACCAAAATATTATCATAATAATACCAAAATATTATCATAATAATACCAAAATATTATCATAATAATACCAAAATATTATCATTATAATTCCAAAATATTATCATAATAATACCACATTATTATCATTATAATTCCAAAATATTATCATAATAATACCAAAATATTTTATAAAGTTTTGTGGTGTCACTGTCTCAAAGATCACAGACATCCCTAATACACATACAAAGCTAGAAATTCTCATTTGAAACTTACCTCAATGTGTCTCTCTAATTCTTTTAATAAACTGGGGTATTTTTCTAGTCTTGTGAAAGCTTTAGATAAATGTGTAGTTAAAGTCATAGAACCTGGTGCTGGTACACCCAATGTTTCCATATACCGACTTAATGCTTCTCTAAAATTAGAAAGAGCTCAACCAATTATAATGGTATTATGAAGCCAAAAAATCAATTCTAGCATTTCTGCCAGAGTGATAGGATCTTCCCAAAAGAAATGTGATCATACATCATTAAGCAAATCAAAAACATCTTTCAACACAAAAAATTCATACTGAAATGAATTTTTCTTCTCTTTACCTAATTGGGCAATGCCATAAAGTGTACAATGAGGAAAAAAAACATGATTGTGACAATAGCACATATTATAATGCATATTTTAAGCTTGTAGAATCTCTAATGATAATACCAAACTGGACCTTGGCTTTTTACTGCATACAATCAAAGACACATTGTCAGTCAGCCCCTCCAAAAGCATCACTGACATGGGACAACTAGATAGGAACATTGGTAAGTACTCTCTTGCAAGCAGGTGTTTGAATCAACCATAGGTACTACAAAAGCCAAGTTGCCAGCTTACGTTTAACCCAATAAGGCAACATAACTCTGGAACCACTATAAATAATAACTTACCTATGGCGTTGTAATATGGAGACAGCTAAAGGATGATTAGAACAATATTGAATGTACAGGTTTCTTAATTGTTCAGCATGCTGCATAAAAACACCCCCTATTCTTCTCTGGGATGGCGGCAGTCTGAAATATAAAAAAATACATGCCATAATTTTTTCTTCTAAATGAAATTTTTTAACACCAAAATCAGGTAAATGAAATCATGAAGAACAGAAAATATTCTGGAATGCTTTAAGGTTTAAAATTTAAAGAGCTGTAGATCAGACAATAAGAGTGCCTTCAATCTTATGACATCACTACCATGTTGCTCTTCAATTTACCACCCTTTGAAAGTCTGGTGATTCATCTTCTCACATTATTTCAGACAATCCAGACGTAAGCGGATAATCAAAAAGAGATAATGACCAGGAGGTGTGGCCAAAGGTGCTTGGATGTTTTCCATATCCATTTGAAATGTTTTAAGGCATTTCATCCACAACAGAAAAATTGTAGGCATAAAACCACCTACTTTTCACATTCTTCTAAAGATGCCAGGAATATTTTTTGGAATGCTGCAATATCTTCTAAGTTACCAATTAACTGACAAAATTCACCAGGGTTTAATCTGAAATGAAATGAAGGGAGTTTTACATCCTATAATGTAACGCAAGATGAATAGTTTTGGTGTTCTCTTAGTTAAAACTTTCTGATAAGTTTAGAGACACATTCCCCTAGATATGTCTAAGCAGAAAAGCCAACTGTCCCACAACCAACTTCGAAATAAGATACATTAAATATTCTGAAGAAGAGCTCAAATCTATTTAAACTAAAAACTTACATGCCAGTTCCTTGTAGTGGTAATAAATAACTCTTGAGGACTTTGGTTAGTTCAGATACATGAGTTCTTTCAGTTTCAATCACATTCTTTAAAACCTACAAACACATTATCATGATAATTTTAATTGTGAGTTTAGTCTATAACATTATCATGATCATTTCAATAGTGAGTTTAGTCCATAACATTATCATGATCATTTCAATAGTGAGTTAGTCCATAACATTATCATGATCATTTCAATAGTGAGTTTAGTCTATAACATTATCATGATCAATTCAGTAGTGAGTTTAGTCCATAACATTATCATGATCATTTCAATAGTGAGTTTAAGACACGTTTTAAATATTATTTCAAATAAATCATTTAATGTTGCATATATGTAACAACATTGTGTAAATGATTCACCTTATGACGATAGCAATGCTATGAAGTGTCCAATGAAGGAAATAATTTTTTTTTCAACTGTCACAGGATCTTTATTGCAGTATATTTAGTCCTCAGAGGTATATACTCAGTGCTCAAATTTGAAACTCTTTATCATTTTATATACATGGCGTACATACAAGGTTGTATCAAAAATGAAAACTGTAGATTCCATAGTGTTTATAAAAAATTGTGAAGCCGATTTAGCCAACAGGGTTGCAAAAATAATACAGCTACACGTAAAGATATTAGCATATAAAAATGAATACTTACAATGTTACAGCTATAGAAAGTGATAACACATTGTAATCTAAGGTATAGAAAAGAGAATATATTGAGTGAATACTTACAACATTATGATATAACTGCATACTCTCTCTTTTGATTACACTGACATCTGAATTTCTATTAGATTTCATCCCAGTACCATGACCTAGTTCTAGATAGCATAAACAATATTTAATGTTATTTCCTTTCATAACGTTTTACATATATTAGCATAAATACTGGCTCAAACAGGAGGTAATAACATAATTTATCTAAGGAGTTCAGTAATATTATACATTGAGAATTAAGCGAGGTAAATAAAATCTAACTCTACTACAATAATTGCTGGCTCACACAGGAAATAACATAATTTATCTAAGGAGTTCAGTAATATTATACATTGAGAATTAGGTGAGGTAATAAAATCTATCAAAATATATATAATCTAACTCTACTACAATACTTTATCAAAGGAATTCAACAATATCATTCATTGAGAGTTAGGTGAGGTATATGACATCATTTCCTTTATATAGACAGAGTAGTTATTATTAATTATAAAGAACCTGATATTCCATGATTTTAGTTTTTTGGTGCCAAAAATATCACCTTCGTAGATCAAAGATATAGTTGGAGTCTGACTCATATGCCTTTTATAAAACAAGCTGAATATATCTCTTTTGCTTCAAGGTAAGAATAAGCAAGAAGGCATACCTGATTTGAAATCTTTCACATAATTACTAGGAAACCATCCTGTCTTTCCTTTTAATGTTCCTTCCCACCAACCTCCATCTAATGCCTGGGTTACAGTTATTATGTCTCCTTTCTCAAAACATAACTGAAATATACAAATTTTTTATATTTTTATAAACATAACTGAAATATACATATATTTTTCATATTAAAGAACATAACTGATACAAATTTTAAAAATCATAATATAACTGAAATAGACACATTCTTTATATTTCAAAAATAACTAAAATATACAAATTGTATATAATCTAAAACGTAACTGAAAGATACAAATTGTATATATTCAAAAACATAAGTGAACGATACAAATTGTATATATTCAAAAACATAATTGAAAGATACAAATTGTATATATTCAAAAACATAACTGAAAGATACAAATTGTATATATTCTAAAACATAAGTGAAATATACAAAATTAATGATACAAAATTTCAATTTGTCTCAAAACATAACTGAAATATACAAAATTTTGACATTCCCCAAAACATAACTGAAAACTACATCATGTCTCAAAATATAATTGAAATATACAATATTTTAATTTTCGCAATAATATCCAAGCTAAGAAACAAGTTTTATTGAATAAAATTTAAAAGTTAGCAACCCTATTTACCAAGATTTTCTCATTCTCAATTCAACAGATATTAATGCTATAGAACAAAGGAGAATGAATGTCTTGCTATGTATGAGTAATACAGTTAGGTTTCAACAATAAATCTGGGCCATTCTGAAGAAACTATTATCAAGATATTATCAAACTGGTAAAGAGGAGATAATGAAGAAAAACAAGATCATTATCAACATTTGAATAATATCTTTATTCAATAACCAGAGAAAATAATAACCTGTCATTTTTCACTCAGTCCTTGAAAATATATTTCAGATTAAGTAGAGTAAGTTATCTAGACCCTCAAAATATTATAAATCATAAGATGACATTTTTATCTTTGGGGAGCTGCCGTGGCTTAGCGAGTTAGATGCTATTGCTAATATGAGTTTGGATGGGCTCAAATTGAAAAAGCTTCTAGTCATTTGGATGGGACAATGAACAGAGGTCTCGAGTGCAACAGGCTGTTCATATGAAAGATCCCACTCAACAGTTGGAAATAAACAAAGAGAAGGCTTATGCATCTATCCAGGCAATAAGTCCACCTTATTTCTAGATTTATCCTTCAATTTTTAAACTTACAAGGACAAAAATTGATGAAAAAACATCAGGCTTTAATTTGAAGAACTGTTCATTTTAAAGTCTGTAGAAAACAGATAATCTAAGAGACTAGTCTGGTATGTACTGATGTAGAAGAAAATAAGATATAAAATAGTTTGAACTAAATATAGATTACCATCTGTTTCAATCTATAAACAGTATGTTGTACAACTTGTCTTGTAAAATACAACTTCTCATGATTGATAGGGTTGACTGTACAGTATGCTGTACAACTTGTCTTATAAAATACAACCTCTCTTGATAGGATTGACTGGACATATGTTGTACAACTTGTCTTGAAAAATACAACTTGTCTTGATCGATAGGGTTGACTGTACAATATGTTGTACAACTTGTCTTGTAAAATACAACTTCTCGTGATTGATGGGATTGACTGTACAGTATGTTGTACAACTTGTCTTGTAAAATACAACTTCTCTTGATTGATAGGATTGACTGGACATATGTTGTACAACTTGTCTTGATCGATAGGTTGACTGTACAGTATGCTGTACAACTTGTCTTATAAAATACAACCTCTGTTAATTGATAGGGTTGACTGTACAGTATGTTGTACAACTTGTGTCTCAGTTGCTAAAATACAACTATTGCTTGAGCAAAGTCAAAAGTTTTTTTAAATTTTTTTGGTATTTTTTTAGAGAATTGGAATAGCAGCCTCAAAATAGTACTGACAGTCTTAGAATGTCTTTGTTTTGACTCTAAAGACTCTTAATGTCCATTGCAACAAAAATGATGCTTGGCGTCTTTTTCGACGCAGAATATATTGCATCAGACAAAGCAGTCAAAATACAGTTGGTAGTATGGTACTTCAGTAATAATAATAAGCTACTATAATACTAATGGCCATTGATAGAGATATGAAATGGAAGATTTGATATGAAATAGTACTAACTAATATCATAAAGAGAGGTCTGTATGGTGCTAGGTGGAAGTCAAAACAAACTAATAGTAGATAATAAAATGCTATAATAACATTAAAGGTACTTAGCCATCTATTTATTTGTACAGATCAGATGATACAACTTAAAGAAGCACTGCCCCTATTTTTCCAAGGATAAGTATTACTTGTAATAACTAGTTTGACGATAAAATGAAACCTTGTTGGAAAATTTGGGGAATTTGTTCTTCAAATATTATTGCATATCATTAAGTTTTAACCAATCATAAATGTCCATGTATGTACGGATTGGATAACAAAAAACAACTTTTTGACCTTTCTTGATTGGTCACTCATTGGAATTCTGAAGGTAATTATATTCTAATTTAGCTAATTATGAATTAGTCATGGATATGTGATACAAACTGGTATTTTTCCAAGTCATTAGAACACCTCTACTTACTATTCATATAAGTATTGGCATTTTTATTTTCATACATTGAAATAAGGGAACGCATCTTTAAATACTCCTGAATGCTGAATTGTAAAATTCAACCAATGTTTCAAATACAAGCTACTTAAATCAATAGTCAACTAAACCAAAAGTTGTAAGAAGTCATTTAAGGGAGTGCCAAGTCTGTGAACAGTGCAAATAATCTGGTTATATAATCACAAAATCTGTCTTTAAAAACAAAACTGTCATACACATGAATTCTTGACTTTGATGTTAACAATTTAAGGCAAAGAATATAAGAACGAGATTATGTAAAGTCATTTTTAGGAAAAATAAAATTACATAAAATATTTTCTTATGCACCAAATTCCTTAATCTTTATTTTTGAAAGTATTTTTAGAACTTTGTGAAAAAATCCCTGGGTAGGCCGATTTTCACAAAAAAAAATTGAACCAACCAATAGCAAAACGTAAGGATTTGATTGTCGAAATATTTGAATAAGCAGCTATATATTAGAGCTCTTTTCAAAATTAAAATTTCAGATAAGTTCTTCCACAATATTTGTTTAAAGTATGAAATCTTCAATATATGTCTTTATATTTTTGGCTACTTGAAACATTTGAATAAAATCTCTAAATCTAATCAAAACAAACTAAACCAACTCACCAAGTTCACACTTTATCAGAGCCAAGGTTCTAAAGACTAAACAAACTTCTGCTACTCAAAGATATTCCATGCAGAACTAGAACTGTGGAGGGAATTGATGCTGAACTAACTAGATACATGAGGTCAAAACAGAAGCTGTCTAGCTGGGGTAGGATAGAAACCACTGAGTTACTGTAACTGATAGCTAATATTATCAGTGTTCAGAACTAATATTTATCATTTACAGGAAGCCATTAGATTATCATTTTAAACACAGCTGGTGTCTTGACCTGCTTTCAAAAATATTTTAACAGAATAACAAGATTTTGGAAAAATTAGGCATAGATGTGTGTACCACATTTAAAGATGGATTCCCTTATTATCATGTATGAAAATGACAATGCTAATACTTATATGAACAGAAAGTAGAGGTGTTCTAATAGAGGTGGTTGCAAAAATACCATTTGTCTCACATGTCCATAATTAATTCATAATTAGCTAAATTAGAAGAGAATTACCAGCAGAATTCTAATGAGTGACTGATCTAGAAAGGCCAAAAAGTCTTTTTTTGTTTATCCTGACTGTACATAGATGGACATTTATGATTGGTTAAAACTGTTAATTATATGCAATAAGAACATAATGATATGACTAAGTAGTCATTAGAACACCTCTACTTTCTATTCATATAAATATTAGGGAATAAGGGAATCCAACTTTAAAAAAAATTCATCAAAGGCATTTCAAACTGATTTTTTTATAAAAAAAAAAGTTAGATCTAAAATTTATTGCTATGTTAATGTTTTTACCTGTTGAAATGATAATGTTACCATTCTATACAGTAAAGTAAAGAATGTTATTCTAATTAAACAGATGATAATAGTATGTCCAGCTGTTCTCAGTATGGTACCACTATAACCTATTATTTCTACTGTTCTATAGTAACAATTCCTAGTGAATATAACAACCAAGTTTGCCAAATATTATCCCTAGGGTTACTACCTGAATTCTTGAGTAACCAGTAACAGTAACAGCTACTGAATAATATTTCTTTGCTGGGAATTTGTTATCTTATATTCTTTGATACTGTTTGTTTGAAGTTGGTTGGAGAGATGTAAAAGGAACCTAGAGGAGGCCCAATATTTTTGCTTGTGATTGGGTAATGTTATATGTGATGCAAATTTTATCAAAAGACCTGCATTAGAAAAGAATCAAAAAGAAAGGATAACCACATAGGTTCACAGTTAAGGACCCTTTCTACCAGCTGGTCCTTGGCAAAACCTCTTGGCATTGATCTTTCCCGGATTATCCATACCCATTTACAGCTGGCTCGTCTGGAATTATGAGTGGTCATCGGACTTTCATACGCTGATCAAAATTGGAAACCACAACTGCCACAATGACGTCTTGTATAAAACCAAAGCTCTAACCGACTGTGATAGACTGCGACAGGTTTCCCATCAGTTTGACAAATCATACCTTTGTCTCTGAAACAATATTCTTGAAGGAATTATGCGATTATGCCTGATAGGAAATAAGCCTGGGATTAAAATCAGAGCTTCATTTACAGACACAGACTCTATTTAAATATTTTAGAAAAATCTACCAGGGTAGGAGTAACCACCAACAAATGAGTTCACTCTGACAAAAAAAATATCTAAGTCAGTTAATTTGGACTAATAAAATGATAGCACTATGGGTGGGATTCATCATGTAACAGGCACTATCTCCAGACTCTTTAATCAAAATGACAACTTATGATGTCAAGATGTTCACCAGATATCTCTACTGGTTCTACTATCTCAATTGTTGGCCTGTTTTCAACACAATCTGAAGGTAATTGGGTATTCATGTCATAATGCTTGTGATAATCTAACC